TCGTTGTATTTGAAATATGTAGTGGTGAGGCAGAGGTCTAACAGTGTGCAGATCTGATCGGGTGTGAAGTTGGTCCTGTCCTCCAAGGAATTGTCTTCTTGTAGTCGTTTTCTGACAGTCTCCACTGCCTCCGTGGTGGGTATGCACGTGAAGAGAGAAACTACATCAAAGGACACCATGGTTTCATCTGGGTCCAGGGTAAGTTTCTGGACCTTGTCAGTGAAGTCGGTGGAGTTCTTGATGTGGTGTGGGGTGTTCCCCACGAGAGGAGCAAGGATGGTAGCAAGGTGCAAGCTCCTTTGACTACGATGACCTGGATGACTGAGAACCTTCACAGTCAACTTCATGTTGAACAATATGCTTTGTGTTGTGGTTGTGGAGCAGTGAACCAGCTCTTAATCTTCTTTATTAAGGGCACATGCGAGTGTGCAAAACCTGCCTAAATGTTTTGTTGTCTAGGAGAAGGCATTTAGTAATGCTATGGTGGTTGCAACGTTTCTAGAGTATGATTCTTGTGTTTTTCAGATGACATTTGCCTTTAATTCACATTTTTAGAAACAGATCTGCAATAGTGAAACCATGACCAGCACCTGGAAATATCAGTTTTCCTTCAGAAACCCTAAAAACCTGCAATATCTATAGTGATCCATTTAGTAGTTAAAACACACACCAGCAGACTTCTTCTCTTTTTGTACCTGTGTAAGAGCTGAGCACTCCATGTATTTGACAGCTTTCAGGTGACGAGCCAGTTCCTCGCCGTCCTTGAAGGTCACAACTTGCTCGTTTTTCTTGGCCAGCATCTCCAGGGTGTATCTGTCATCTCTCAGATCCACCTTAGTCGCGACCAGCAGGAAGGGGGTCCCCGGACAGTAGTGTGCAATCTCTGGCAACCACTGTGAAGACAAAGACAAGGTCATATAGATTAATAATTAATTTATATATTATTATTTTAATCTAAATTACTTTTAAGTACCAAGTACTTATTTATTCTGAAAGTAAAAAGAAAGTAAAAGGCATAAATGTAGATCTTATTAGAAACAAAATGCATACACCAAGTAGACAAACCTTGTTTGTGACCATTTGAAAAGATTCGGGTGAATCCACGGAGAAACAGACGAGGAAAACGTCGGTCTGTGGGTAGCTGAGGGGTCGCAATCGGTCATAGTCCTCCTGACCTGAAGGGTGAGACACAAAAAGCCTGATTAAAAGTTAGATTAATGCTATTATCTGAAACATTTAAGT